TTTTTTTTAATTTTAAATTTATTTTATTTATTTATTTTTGTGTGTGGCCAGCTCAGCCTGCTGGCTGGCATGTGGTGCTGGGGGATTGAACCGCAGTCCATGTGCTTTGCTAAGCTTGTTCAAGGTAGGTGCTTTAGACCACTGAGCCATCTCCCCAGCCCTGTATCTATACTTTAGAAAGACATAATTTCTTGAGTAAAACTTTACATCCACAAAAACATAACCAAAAAGAACCAAATCTCTGAATGAGTTCTGCAACTTACTTTTCCATTCTTGATTTCCTCCCGGGCGAGCTGCACGACCCTCTTAACTTTAGATGCTATGCACAAGTATTTGAAAAACCTCTGGTGTGCAGACCAGAACTGACCCCACATGGACTTCTTCATCCGCTGCTCAGCATCGATCAGATCTGCAGCCTGCTGAAACCGCTCTCTGGCGATGACCCACTAGAGGCAAAGTCACAGTTTACATGTTTTGTCTTTGTACAAAGTTGTTTTTTTTGTTGTTGTTGTTTTTTTGTATTTTAGGGAAGGGGCTATAGGGTGTTCAGGGTCTCACTACTAGATCGAGCTCATAGTGATTCTCCTGCTTACGGCCTCCCAAGAGCTGGGATTACAGGCTCATGCCATCATATCCAGTCTCAACTGCCTCTCAGTGTGCCGCGGGGGCAGGGCCAGCATGGTGGGCCTGGTGATGGAACCCCCTGCCCCTGCTTGCAGGCGCTTTAATCCGCTGAGCTATTTAGCAAACCCTGAATAAAGCTATTTAAAAATGCTCTCCAATAAAAATAATATTCAGGTCAGGCATGGTGGTGCATACCACTTGGAAGACTGAGGCAGGAGGACTGTTGTAAGTTCAAGATCAGCCTGGGCTACAAAGTGAGCTCAAGGCCAGCCTGAACTGCAAAAGGAGACCTTGTCTCAAAAAAGATAAATAAATATTCAGTAAGTTAGAGAGTTCTAAACAATTATTTATACAATGTTCACAATTTTTTTTTAACCTAAGGCATTTTAGAAAATACAGTTATGCATAATGTTATTTTGAGAACTACCTCACTCAAGTAAATGGCTATGTTTTTATGGATCACTTTAACCAAGTGAAAATTGTAAATTTTGTAAAATAAAAATATTGGTTAAATGACCAATCATGTGGTAATTTCCAAGTCATTTCACAGCAGATATATATTCTTATAAGTGAAGACATTACAACAGACAAAATGAACAAACATTATTAATATATTAAAAACATTAAAAAGTAAATACTTCTCACCAGTTTGACTGCTTTGTTATACATTTTAACATAGTTCTGAGAAAGAAGAACTTCCTCAATTTTGAAGGTCACTCCAGTAAAACTCAGCTGCCGGGCTATGTACATTCCTCTAAGCTTCATATCCATAGCAACTATTTCCATGGCACCAACACCTCTGATGAAAATTAAAACACACAGTAACTATTAAGAAGTAGAAGGGCCAGGGACTTAGCTTAGTGGTGCAGCACCTGCCTGGCAAGCGTGAGGTCCTGAGTTTGATTCCTAGTAAACCCCCACCAGAAGGAAGTAAAGCAGGACTTTAATTCATTGAAGGGTTTAGCAGTAACACGTATGTCTGAGTGTTAAAGAACATGGTGCACACCACAGGCTGCATTACCTGCGCTCCACTGCTTGAATGAAATCACTGAATTCTCTAAACGGAGTTCCCTCACCCCAGATTCCAAGGCGGTTCATATAGGCCATGTTGCGTGGTTCCGAAGCACCTGGAAAATCCCCAAATATATTATAGCTGCCGAAAGAACTTATACCCACCTTTTAAATTAAATAATACTCACCAGTGGCACTTGCATAAACAACTCTGGCTTTTGGCAATTTGTTCTGAAGCTCCAAAACTGCTAAGCCAGTCTTAGTGGGTTTTGAAGAACCAACAGGACATAAGTTTTTTGCTTTATGACATTCATCAAATACTATCTGTTAGGAACATGTTAAGGAACATATCTCATTAGTAGTAAACGTCTACCAAGTATTAGGAAGAGTTAACTTTTAGTTCCCTGAAGCTTCAGAGAGCTTTTTCTTTACACACATAAAGGAAGCCTTCCAGGTGCCTCTCCCACATAGCAACTCCCTTACCTCAGCATCTCAGGTACCATATTTATCTTAGCCAACCATCTAATTTCTAACTAGAATGCAGGAAAGGATTCTCTTGGGCAAAACTGTCCACTACAGATTATGCTGGAAAAAGACCATACTCCGTGGAAGCTGTGACTGGGAGTCAACTTAACTAGCATTTCACAACATGGTATGTTTCACACAGGATGATACACGATAAACTGTGAGTGGTGCATTTCAAAATCACAGAAACGACATTCCTTTCACTTGGTTCCTTGAGTACCCTGCTGTTCAATGTGAACGCCCATCTAAGTGACCACATTCTGCATTCCTCTCACTACTCACCTTTTCCTAAACCAGATTCCTGACACAAACAGAATCATTTTTCCAGTCCCCAGGAATCTTAATTAAAACTCTCATCCCAGCAATCTGTTCATCTAATCCTGGGATTCTCTTTTGCCAAATGCCTTGTCCTTTTACACCTTTATGCCACTAAATAACAGACAGTTGTCATAAAGGATACCACTCCATCGAAGTCATCACCGCACCAATGCAGAAGTTGTTTTAACCTGGTTTTATATTTACCACCAGACTGGCTTTCACCAATAAGGGAGGAATATGTCGCAAATATAACACCTTTTTTCACACTCCCATTATGCTTGGATGAAATTTTTCCATATTTGAACTAAAAACAGAAAGGAGTTTAATTAGTCTTGGAAACAAGTATCTGACCCAAAATTCTACAGCAGGACCTCTTAACTGGGCAGGTTGATGACAAGCTAAAAGAAGTCAAAACGCTTCCCAAGATCTACCACAAAACTTCTTATGCATACACACACATGGGCATATCCGTGCATAGCACAAACACACAAATTATAGCATAAGGATCTAATTTTTAAAGTCTCCATTACCAAATTAATGAAATAAAAAACAAATTCTCCTTTAGGAAGAAATCACAGTATTTACCCCACAAATATTTACTATCCACTTACTATAGCAAAGTACTGCTATTAAACTCTGAAAGAGTATTAGTTAATGTATCCTCCTTTGATTACACTGCTCAGAAATAAGTGTTTACAGGCTTCTTCTGCATGATCTCACTTTTAAACTGCTCATACATGATCATGCAAACAATTTTCAATAATCAGTCCACTAAAGAGGACAATGAATTCAGGACACACATGAAAAGTAGATTTGCATTTACTTACCTTCCAGGGCTAGCAGGAAGGCATTTATAGGAACTGTGTTTGTTTTACTTTTATAACCAACACAGTGTGTCAATAAAGATTTCCTAAATGAACATCAAGATTCCAATCACATTGGGCTCTATTAGGCCCCAACATCCCTTTTCTGGTTACAAATTGTTTTGCATGAACACAGGTACATGCACTGAAGTCCATGAGCCACATAAATACTGAAACCAATTTCTAAGTCACAAGGTCACGATGTGCTGCACAGGATTTGGTGCCCAACCGCCCCAACATGGCACCCAAACAACCACATAAAATAATACTTGAGAAAAAAAATAAAAAATAAAATACTTGATTTAGAGTATTTCAGCTCAGTAGCACTGCGCCTACCTAGCAAACTCAAGGTCCTGAGTTCCAATTTCCAGTTCCAAAAATAAAATAAGAATTAACCACTAGGAAGAAACTGTCCTACCAATTTGGTTTGAAACTGTCTCATTACTATCTGTTTCTCAATAAAATTATGAGGAAAAAAAATAAGAGTACTTGAATAACTAAAGGCTAAGAGCACAGTCCATGGCTGCGGGAACAATGCCTACTTTGCTGCTACCATGCAACCACTGCCTGCCATGGAACTTGGCACACAGCAGAATGTGCACCAATACTAGTGGCTGTGCTGGACACACTTTCTTTGGAATAACATATTTAATCCTCATAACAACCCTACAAAATAGAAACTATTATTTCTACCTCAAAAGTGAGTTTCATATTTACTGAATGAACAAGTACATAGGAAGTTTTCATACCTTATTTAATGAGTGAACCAAAATGTTTTTTGCTCCAATATCCCTCAAATCTCTTTCAGCATCATACTTTAAGTCATTTGAAACACTGAACCTGTCATAAAAAGAAAAGAATAAACTAACTCCAAATTACATTACTGTAGTAGAATTCAGGAATGGCGCCAGGTCTTAACACTTAAAAAAAGGAAAAAGAAAAAAGAAAACAAACCTACTCCATTAAACCCATTCCCACATGCCAAATCATTCACAAAAAAGCCTTCCACTGCCAGTTCCCAACACTTACCACAATGCTCTCTTTCTACTCAACAAATAATTTTCATAGATGATTCCTGCTATTGTTCTGCCTTTCCCTACACCAGCACCATCACCTATTAAGAAGCCAGCACGATCCCCATTAGGTAGGAATGTTTCATGTTGCTGAAAAAGAGAAACTTGATTAGTAACAAATCCTTCATGATTTTGATTAATCTTTCATACATAGTTTAAGGCATGTACCTCAGTTTTTGTTATATAAGTGTCTTATGTTCTGGTCTTTAACGTGAATACTTTCTATAGATTTACTATATAATCTTTCCTGCTAACCTCCCTTGCACCAAGAAATTTTTATTTTTTTGAGACAGGGTCTTGCAATGTAGTTCAGGCTCATCTTGCTCACAATGTAGCCCAGGCCGTAGCCCTGGCCAGCCTTGAACTCACAGTGATCCTCCTGCTACAAATCTGAAGAATTCGCAAACTGGTAAGAAGTCTTCCACGTCTTTCAATGTTAATCAAATACTAACCTATATCACAATTAACTACGGGAGATAAAAGTTTATTTGGGTCATTACTTATTTTACAGAAATAGAGCATGGTCAAAATTCTATGTGAGAAAATTGGTGTTAATTCCAGCTTCTATCTTTTGTTTTAAAAGATAAAAATACAATAAATACTACACAGCTTAGTAACACCAGTTTATTCAATCATACCCAACACTGCATGGTAGTCAAATCATTCTACTAGCTTGGGGAAGGATGGATCCCTATATGTATATTCTATCTAAGGAATAGACTCCTAATTGTAGAGTTGTTGGGTTAATAAATATATATATTTTTTATTGTTCTCTATCATCTTTGATTTTGTACCTTATTCACCTTTTGGGTTCCTCTCATAACGTAAGAGAAGCCATGCAATATTTAACCTCTCTTATGTCTCTTTTACTTGACTTAGCATTGTGGTTTCAAGGACTATTTTCTTACAACTGACTCAAGTATACTCTTCTTCATGGCTGATTAGAATGCCCTCCTATATTATACTGCATTTTCTTTATCCAATTAGCTGTTTATGGATATATAGACTTTCATAATTTAGGTATTGTGAACATGAATAGTCAGGTATCATTGTATTTTCAAATTAAACCACATTTAGGAAGTTTTCCATGTAAGAAATGTTTCCTTTGAATTAAAACTGCATTGTATGCACCAACATAAACCAATGACTGCTGCACACAATTATGCACATTGCTTACCTGGGCTGCATATGTAATTGCCTCAAGCTGTAACGCTGATAACCATCCACTATCAATGGTTTCTTCAGAGATGGACGTTTTGTACCAAACATCAGGAGGAGTGACACTGGATAAAGAGCTAGTTTCCACTACAGCATCTGGATGACGCAGGCCAATTTTTACTAAATGAAAAATTTAAAAATACTTCATTTATTTTATTCTACTCACATTTCCAATTTAAGTATAAGATACTGAAGATTTTTCATGACACAGAAAACAGGAACTATTCGCCCTGAGCCTCCATAAAGTTATACAGCCCCGAGGATCTGAGTCTGTAAGAGAACACTTGCCTTTCATTCACAAAGCTCTGGGTTACAACCCTAGCACCACAAAAACATCTTTATGACTGTGAAGTACTCCTTAGATTTGACTAAAATGATTAACAACTACATACAGAATATACAAAGACTTGCTGATAAAAACATCTAGTTTAAAATCACAGAGCTAGTAGAACATCTTGGGAAGATCACAAAAGCCTACAAATTGGAGCCCTGCCTGGAAAATAGACCTTATTTCAAAACAAAAATAAAGTAATACATAAAAATAATAAGTTCTGGGCTGGGGAGGTGGCTCAGTGGAATAAGCGCTTCTGTGGCAAGCGCAACGGCCCGAGTTCAAGCCCCAGTTCCACAAAAAACAAAACAAAACAAAACAAAACACCTAAGTTCTCACATGTTTTCCAGAAATAAACATAACCTGCTGTCACAGACTAGAGGTTTTGAGTCATTCATTTCATTTCACAGAAGTTCACAATGTAATTTCACTTTGAAAAAAAACCATAGTGATAATATATGTGTGTGCATATATATATTTTTTTCCTTCCTTTTTTCTCTGTACTTAAGACAGGGTCTATAGGGGCTCACTATGTAGACAGAACTCGTAGCAATTCTCCTGTTTCAGCCTCCCAAGAGCTGGCATTAGAGGCGCGTGCCACCTTGTTCAGTCTCAGTCCCAGCTCAGCATGTGCATGGGCAGAGGGGAGGGGACACACGCCAGAGATCAAACCCCAGCTGCTGTGCTCTGCCTAAGCAGGCACTTTAGTCCACTGAGCTATCAGGCTGGCCCTAATTTTTTTTTATTTTTGGCAGTACTCAGGATTGAACTCATGACCTTGCGCTTGCCAGGAAGACACTTATTCTATTAAGCCATCTCCTCGGCCCTCATAGTGATATTAAACTACAACTAAACTCCCCAAAATGTACAATTAAATAATGGCCGGCAAACTTTCTATAAAAGGTCGTCCAGTAAGTTTTCAGCTTTGCGGGCCATCCAGTCTACTTCATAACTACTGAACACTGTTATTACTGTATAAAAGCAATCGTGGACAGTGATTAAAACAATGAGCATGCTTATGTTCCAATAAAACTTCATTTGCTAAGATGGGCAGGACATCCAAACCCTGTGTGCTGATCTCTCTCTGGTTTAAAGAGTCACAGACAAAACCACAAGAGAAGGAAAAAAAAAACCTTTGGGTACTACAATCCGAAACTTTTTTTTTTTAGAAGTAGTAGAGCTTCGGGGCCTGGGAGATGACTCAGTAGAATAAACGCTTGCCTGGCAAGCACAAGGGCCTGAGTTCAATCTCTGGTTCTGCCTAAAAAAAAAAAAAAATGAGGAAACCAGAATTTTTTTTTTTTTTTTTTTAATCTCTAAGACATACGTTTTATTGGCATATACTCTGCATAGGTTTCAGCATGGCCCATTTCTTCTTCATCTTCTTCCTCTGGCTCATCTTCATCTTTTACAACAGGAACTTTCTGTAACAAGAGAAAGTACAATCAGTCCTCCATCCAAAGACTGGCAGCCCACCTTGGGCTAAGGAGGTATCCGAGGTCTCACTTTGAAGCTTCCCCACTGCTCCAATGACAACCTATTCTGTCCCTTACACATACATGAACGTCGCCACAGGGAGCCAGCCACTCATCTACATCCCATCTCCCCTTCGGTACTGCTTCCCTGTGGTGGGCTTCACTGTGGCTCACACATCCCGCTTTTGGTTCATCCACGTTTTTTCTCTCAGGCCCTACAAACACAGCCCAAGAGCCAAGCTCAAGGCTTTTCCACAGCAGAGATGAACTTCACACTCTGTCTCCATACAGCAAGTATAGAGAAGCAGCCAGAGCATTTTTCCTCAATCTTGGCCACCAAGACAACAAAAGAAACACAGACTGTGACTGCCAAGTCCTGAGAATAGGTGCCATCTTTCTCCATAACCCTTATGCTGTAGGAGTAAGAGGAGTGAGACCACAGGGAGACCTCAATCACCCAGTCCCTGTCACACCCAGTAAAGTCATCAGTAAGGGCTGGGAGTTGCTCAGCAGACTAAGCACCTGCTTAGGCAAGCACAGGGACAGTGGTTCGATCCCCAGCACCACATGCCATGCTAGCCCTGTCCCTGGGCACAATGAGCCAGCCACCAAGACCGGGCATGGTGGCATACCCCTATAATCCCAGCACTGGGTAGGCTGAAAACAGGAGGATCACTAAGAGTCCAAGCTGCTGCGTAGTGAGACCCTGTACCAATACATTAAAAAAAAAGAAGACATCAGGAAGTTGTTGGTTCAGAGGACTGGACAGAGAAGATGCTATAAAAGCTCTCAGATGAAGACAGAGGAGGAGGAAGAAGACATAGTCTGAGCCTCCAAAATTTTGTGTGTAGTAATGGGGTTGAACTTGGAGACGGGGAGAGTCAGCAACTGGGGAACGAATGGCTGATAAGTTTTACCAGCTGAGCAATGTGGGGGTTGTAGTTGTCAGGCCCTCCTATTTTTCAATGGAACCTGGAAATTAGGATTTCTTGGGCCCAAAAGTATTCAAAATTCCTCCTACCTTCAGGGCCCAGGAAAATGCATCTGTTTACACTATACTCCAGACTACCAACTAAGCAATCCGCTGGGCTGGGCTTCCTGAAACGCCCCAGAAAACTGCTACATTATGGAAAAAGTAGTTATGGAGTAGAATGGGAGCAAAAGCACTATATCAAACATTTCTAGGGCCGGGGAAATAGCTCAGTGGTCTAAACTCCTGCCTATCAGGTTCAATTCCCAGTATCACATGCCATGCTAGCCCCAGAACCCTGTGGCAACACACACCTATAATCCCAGTGGTGGGGAGGCTGAGACATGAGGATCTCTAGGAGTCTGAATTACATAGTGAGACCCTGCATCAAATAAGTATTAAAAAAGAAAAGTCAACTTCCAAGTACTGCTGGAGTACAACCACTAAGTAAACTGGACAGTTCTTTGTATCTGCGATGCTGGTTCCCATTGAAAAACTCAGGGACAGGTCACTGGCCACCTCCAATTCCATGTTGCAAGTCCAAGTCTTCACTGTCCTTTGGTATTATACAGACAATTATCACTTTGCTTTTTTCATTTTCCCTCATCTTTTTTTTGGTTTTTGTATTTAGTATAGGGTCTCACTACACAGATCAGATTCGTAGTGATCCTCCTGTTTTCAGCCTCCCAAGTGCTGGGATTACAGGCATGCTCCACCATACCCAGTCTCAGTCGCCATCTCTACACACCCTAGGGGCAGGGCCAGCACAGCATGCTGGGGAACCCCTGTCCCTGTATCTGCCTGAGCAGGTGCTTTAATCCACTGAGCTATCTGGCTGGTACCCCTTACCCTTTTCTCCATCACCTCCCCCGCCTCCCCCTCCCCCGCCGTCTTTTTGAGACAAGGTCTTGATGTGCAGTTCAGGCTGGCCTTGAGCACATTTTGTAACCAGGCTGGTTGGTCTCCAACTCACAATGATCCTCCTGCCTCAGTTTCCCAAGTGATGGGTCTATAGGTATGTACCACCATACCCAGCAAAATCCAACTCCATCTTTTTTTTTTTTTTTTTTTGTACTGAGGATCAAACTCAGGACCTTCCATTTGCCAGGCAGGTGCTTACGCCATAGACATTTCCCTAGCCCCCTCTTCTACCTTTACTTTTCTTTCTTTTTTTTTTTTTGCAGAACCGGGGATTGAACTCAGGCCCTTGCACTTGCCAGGGAAGTGCTTATTCCACTGAGCCATCTCCCCGGCCCCCTCCTCAACCTTTTCAAATACCCTAGTACGATGGTGTGCAGTGATGCACACCTGTTATCCCTGGGCAACTTAGTGACTTTAACCTTGGAGAATGGGGACACAGCTCAGTGTAAAAGCCCTGAGTTTGATTTCAGTACCACTAAAAAGTTCTCCCCACCTGCCACCCCTAGCTAAGCCCCTTCTTACCGCCCTTGTAGATTACTACGGCACATCTCCCCACTTTGCCAGCCTCACTCCCTAGTAGGCCTTTCCTCATCCACTTGCAGTGGGCTCTTTTCAGAAGCTAAACCAACCTCAAAGTCCTTCATGCTCAAGAGCCTGAGTCTTCTTCCAGCAAGCCAAGGATTCTGGCTTATCTCACCTAAACAAATGTATGCTATTTCCTCTGTATCTGTTAATACTTTGGTGTCGGGCTGGAGAGATGGCTCAGTGGTCTAAAGCACCTACTTAGAACAAGCTTAGCAAAGCATCAGGGACCGCAGTTCAATCCCCCAGCACCACATGCCAG